TCTTTGGAATGCCTCGCTGAGCCGACTTCCTTCTTTTTGGGTCATTTTCGTTAGACATGAAACGCTGTTGTTTTTGGAGTAAAGATCAGATTTTGATCAGTTTTATTATTTAGTAAAAGTTAAAGATCTTCTCCTGATTTTCTGTCAACGCCTTCCAACTTCTCTATGATCTGCGAAGTTGATAACTGGTCCGCGATTGTCACAACGTGGGATTGTGATGAGAGATTTACAGTTTTTCAAACCTCTCCCTAAATACCAGGCAGTTCTCTCTCATTTTCGATCATCTCTAATATCAATCTAGAACGAAAACAGCAATCTCCTTCTTTAGTTACAGTAAGCCTCTTATTCGAGAGTATCGTAGAAATAGTTCGCTAGATCATGATTCGAGTGTTGTATCTTGGGATCCTCGAATCTATAAAAACCCGTCACACTGCGGGAGATTCAAAGGATTGAGAAAAGAGATTCGTCTCGTCTCCGCTTTCTGTCTTTTCGCTTAACGGTTCTATTATCGCATTTTTCTCATATAAAGTCGCAGTGGTCCATTTTTGGTCCTACATGTATAACTAGATTAAACGAATTTATTACTATATGTGAAGTTGGTCTATTGGGACGGCCCTAGATATATTGGATCTGGTCTATCATGGCCCAACGAGTTAGGGAATTGTCTCCACCTCTCTTTCCGAGCGGTAAGAAAGAGAGTCGAGCTATAGACTAGGGACAAGCATACATGTAGCAGAACCAACGAGAAGAAAAACAAGAAGTTCCCTTATCAATGTCCCGGGCTCGAACTTCAGATTATTCAAATACGTTTGAATTGGTCAAAATAACATTTTTATTAGTAAAACCAACTGATATAGTTATTGTTCGAGTCATATTTTAGGTCTTATGTAGAAGGAGTTGTGGATCTCTTGCGTTAAATCTCTGGGTAGCTTTTGGAGATAATCGTAGAGCTCTGGGAACGTATTCCATCCACTGGGAGGATGAGAGACACTCTTGTGCATGCCCTTCTCTCCGGGGACGCGATCATGAGGACCCTAAGAATGTATGTTGTTGCCTACGCAAGTAACACCACCATGAAGGTCTTCGGAAGGACGATAAATCGTTTTCCTTTGAAAGATTCTCCAACGCTCAAGGCAGGCTTCTACTAGGGAACTAAGTGACGGGCAAGTGTAAGATCATGTATGATGATCATGGCCTCCATCTTATATTTCCTAAGATGAGAGATAAAAGAGAAAAAAGGATGAGTTCCGATAAAAAGTGGGGTTGGAGCTCTCTTTCTGAGATATTGGTTACCCAAGATATACCCAAGGAATATCCTGAAACCATCATCTTCTAAGTATTTCGTCTTGGCTTCACACTTTGTTCCTTCTATTTCCTTCCTCTATTTATTCCTTCAAGTTTCGGTTTTCCAGGACCGATCTTGAAGTTTCAACTCCCAAGCTCTGACCTCCCATGCTTAAATTTCCCTTTATCGAAGTCTTTCATTAGGTATTCATAGAAAAATGGTACTCATCTTTGATTTTAACTTGATCGAGACCGACATCTTGTTCAGTCACATTGTCCATTCCTTCTGTAGGATGATTACCATTTTTCGGACGACAGTTGGCAAGACTATGTCCGACCTCGCTTGTTAGAGATACCTAACCATGCTTACTTTGCCTCGGAAATGGCGTCCCATATATCAATTATGAGGCCAATGTGGCAGTTTCTCATTAGAAGGTATAAAACCAGCCCCAACTTCATCTTCTCTTTTTCTGTATTTTATATGTAGTCTAGTCCAAAAATAAATATCATCAAAAATATAAGAAAAGAAAGATAAGGTTGTGAAGTTGTGTGTAATAGAAAGTCATTTGATACGTTCAAGTAACCAATCTAGTAACTTTGCCTCAAGAGCTAGTTGTTGCGAGTTCAATCTCGTAAGCGGAGCTGTTGTTGTTAACGGGAAAAGAGAGAAAAAGATGAAACCAAAGCTTCCTCTTAACCCAAGTCTCTCTTTAAGAATTAGGCACCACACAACGTTCCACGCCACTGCCTCCTAGTGCTTGGTTCTTGTCATGGACTCGAAAATCACCATAAGAGTTAAAACAACCCAGCCCTTTTTTTTTATTAACATTGGATTCGAATTAGCATTTCCATAATTGATAACTCTCAACAATCCAATCAATTCAATCACATTAAGACAGCGGAACAAAAGCAGTTAAAA